GAATTGAGGATTTCGAAATTTGAGAGTTTGGGAATTTGAAGATTTGGAAATTTGAGAGTTTGGAGAATTAAGGATTTGGAAATTTTAGAATCTATGGAATTGAGGATTTGGAAATTTGAGAATTTGGAAAATTAAGAGCTTGGAAATTTAAGAATGTATAAATCTACAAACTTGAGGACTTTAAAACCTTAAAAACTTGAATTTTTAAACATTGCAAACCTTCCACTATCTCAACTCCCACATCCTCCACAAGAAGGCAAATATTTTAAGAACAAAAGAACCCTTCTACCTAATTACGCCAATGCATATTATCCTAACTAGACTCGCTTTCACGGTTATTCTGCGAAATCGCTGTGTGCTCAAAACGCTGCATCGTGAAGTTGCTCGTGAATGTCGTGTACATCATTTTTTTCTAACTCAAAGATTGTTCTAATTAAAGATGAACACGCGTGTAAGGCACATCGTTATTTTCTCCTTTAAATCACAATTACGATAAAAATAGACATGTTGAATATTCGAGTCTAACTTTCAGGATACTGGAAGCACTGTTTTACAAATAAATACATAGGTTCTGAAGAGGCAAAAGTTTGAACAAAGACTGAAAGAATATTTCTACTTAAAGAAACTTATGATACATGTGTCTATAAAAATTCTGTCTAACATTCTTACGGATTAAAAGATCCATGCTACTAGGTGCTTATTAAAGATAAAAAGTGTTTGAAAAAGAATGTCGAACCTTCCAGTCCTTGTGTCACTTTGAACTCTGTGGAATATCTTGAAGCAACGGAATGGTTTCGAATACAAAAACTATGGAATAAAAATCGTATGTTCTATTGATTCGTTCATAAAAATTGTTCAGTAAATATGTTTCTCGCGTAAGTAGAATTTGGTCCCAACATGGAATTACCCTCTAGTTGCTTAAATGCGAAACGATGCAAGGCACTCACTCGGTGTGAAACTTTAAGTTCGAATTTAATTGAATCCTTCGCTGTACCCTTTCAAAAGGAAGAATAGACGATCTGTTTATGACAAATAATCTCTGCGTTTCGATTGCCAATTCAGTTTGTCGTTTAAGGACCTTCAGTATTAACATTGAAATTAGGATGGGATTGTCTTCAAGGTTGAGAGAATTGTAGAAGAGGAAAAGAGTTTGAAGATAAACTAAAAAGCTAGACTGTAGGAAAGCAGTTAAGGATGTGATGATAACAGGAAAGCAAAGATTTAGACATAAACCTAAACCTAATGTAAAGGAACTTCAAGTCTAGGAGAACCCTAGGAGTTCAGAATTTTAAAGGAACCCAGGAAAAGTCTAAAATGATCTCAAGGAATATTAATGTACCCATTACAGAATCTAGTTGTATCCACTTTCATCATAAACATAGACAAGGTGAGTGTCTCTCCTCTACCTAATTACATACAAACTTCCACTTTAAAAAGTAGTATATTTCCCAGAATAAATGAAAAAAAAAATTGATCGTCCCTCAAAAGACAAAATGTCAAAATTGGCATCGAAATCGCAAACGTTCCATATCGATTGCACGAAAGGAATCGTCGGTTCTTCCTTTTCATTTTTTCTTTCCAGAGGTTAGATCGAATGTATCGCTTCGAATGTGTCGCTGTTTTTTTGTCTGCGCCACTTTCTTCGTTCGAAGCGTTTCGATCAAAGTGGCCTGACCACCGAAGAGACAAAGTCGAGGTGAAACGAACACGACGACGGTACGCAGGCAGAGTATAAAGAAAGCATTTTAAATCTGCGCCGGCTCCACGTAGTTCGCGGGCAACATGCCGTGTCGTCCTGTACGCTGAACCAGCCCCGTCATCCAGCCTTCGTCGATGGCCGTGCAGTTCACGATCAGATCACCGTCGCAGAAGCTCACCTCGTCGAGGTCCTGGGCCTCGTAGTCGTACATCGCTCGGTACACTCTCTGCAAAAGGGAATGATCAATTTTTATTATTGTTCATTTAGGTCTACATACACTTATATGGACGCTATTTAATATGTTTATGTGAGTGTGGGGTTAATTCATTTTTTTAAAAAGTTTTTAGTTGGGACATAACTGAGTATGAGACATAAATGTGTGTCTATGTAGACACATATGTGTAACATGTTTATAGGAATGTGGAGTTAATTCATTTTTTAAAAAAGTTTTTAGTTGGGACATAACTGAGTATGTAACATAACTATGTGTCCACATATACACATATGTTTTAACATGTTTATATGAATGTGGAGTTAATTCATTTTTTAAAAAAGTCTTTAGTTGAAACATAACTATGTGTCCACATACACACACATGTTTTAACATACTTATGTAAATGTGGAGCTAATTCATTTCTAAAAAAAATGTTTAGTTGTATGAAACATAACTAAGCATGAGACACTAAACAAGACTAAGTGCAGGAAATTAAATGTTTGATCAAAATGAATTTGCTCTACATTATTAAATAACATGCTTATATGAATGTGGAGTTAATTCATTTTTTAAAAAAGTCTTTAGTTGAAACATAACTGAGTATGTAACATAATTATGTGTCCACATACACACACATGTTTTAACATACTTATGTGAATGTGAAGTTAATTCATTTTTTAAAAAAGTCTTTAGTTGAAACATAGCTAAGTATGTAACATAATTATGTGTCCACATACACACACATGTTTTAACATACTTATGTGAATGTGAAGTTAATTCATTTTTTAAAAAAGTCTTTATTTGAAACATAACTATGTGTCCACATACACACACATGTTTTAACATACTTATGTAAATGTGGAGCTAATTCATTTCTAAAAAAAATGTTTAGTTGTATGAAACATAACTAAGCATGAGACACTAAACAAGACTAAGTGCAGGAAATTAAATGTTTGATCAAAATGAATTTGCTCTACATTATTAATGGCTCATATGATGAAAGATGTGTGCAAGCATCATTAGACTATGACGTCTAGAATTGTCAAGTTTTCTTATGGTTCACTTATGTAGTCACATAAACACCATACGTTTGACAAGCTTCCGTGAATGTGGGGCTAATTAATTTTGTTTTTAATTTCTGGTTGCATGAAACACAACTAAGTATGAAAGAAGACTGAATGCAGGAAATTAAATGTTTCATGAAAAAACTTACTCCAACATTGGCCGGTGGAGGAGGAGGCGGTTGATGCTGTGGAACGTGATTGTTGTTCGTGGCCGGCGTCAACGATCCATAGTACTCGTTCACGGGGTCAATATCTGCCACCGAACCAATCTTTCTGGTAGGTGGATTCGTCACTAAAATTCAAACGGTTCTTGAAAAATGATCACTAGAAAGTCACAACTTGGACACCGGTTTAACACAATATATCTGCATACAACATAAAAATGAATGGTAACAAATCGGAAGTGGTTACGAGTGAATTGGTCGGTGAGTTGGCAACAGTACAAATGCAACACGCGCTCGCACAAAACAGAAATACTTTCTGACCAGCCACCGTTAACAGCTTTCCCGATTACATACACACTTTTGCACAAAAATGAAACGTTCCGCGCGATGCGTTCGCGATAATGCGAAAATGTATCAAAACAGCTTATGATACCTTTATAATAATTGAACTCCTTGCGTATAATGTAATTAGAAGAATTCTCCTTGAAAAATGAAATGCTTAAGTTTTAAACATATTAGACTTTCCTTGAAGTAATTATAATTTCTGTAACATTTTACTTCAAGGAAATTTTTTTGGATTGAACCCTGAAGAGATCGAAAGATTTGAAGTCCGATACCACTACACCACAGAGGTTATCGAATAAATTCTAATTCTTGAGTTTAAGTGGAGTCATAGAGATATGTGACTTTCTCCTGATTTTGCACTTTTTTTATAACTAGTTATCACAGACTGGGTTTATAGATACGTTTACATATGGAACTATTAATATTTGAGATCTGCGAGGATCAAGAAACTTTAACCCCTTAATCTACAATATGGCGTCACACGCGTGATCAACTATTTTCACTACAAGGTTCAGGTTCAATTCTAATTACAATCTGTATAACCAAGGCTCGCTGAATGTCTATTAATAATTTTAACTTCCTACAGTTTTCATATTGTAACAATTAGCTATGAACGTTGCAACTATCGTAGGTCATAAACTTGATAGATAGAGTCTAAAAGTTTTATCAGCAAGGAGCAAGTGTAATTGGATACAAGTGTACATATTTTGGGAGTAAATGTAATTTTGTGAGGTGAACTCACCTGGTCCCTTGTCGCTCGTATAAATCACAGTTGTGGCCGCCTGCCTGGCGGAATAAGGGCTCGGCCTTGCCTCGCTAAGGGGATCGTAATCGGCGATCCTACCTGGTGTCCTTTGCACCGGCGAGTTCGCAGTTCTCGCGACCGGTGGATTCGCGTTCACCGATGTAGGCGCGAGTGTACCGTCCGTGTACTCTATGCACTCTAAATACAATACACAAAGCGATATTCTCCATGATCCGCATCTACTCGCAAGTTTCAATGATCGCTTCAACGATCGACGCTACTCGAGGATCATTTTCAAACCTGTCAAGCTTAACTAAGATCGACCAAAGAGACATTTGATACAAAATTAGATACAAAAGGCTGACATTTGATACAAAATTAGGTACAAAAGGCTGACAAAATTGACAAAAGTTCTACGCTAGAAGTTTGCAATGTGGATGAAAGCGAAAAGCAATTTGTGAAGATATTGTGACAGCTATTGCTACAAGATGGTTTCGAATTTGATGTGATCAGAGCTGGTTTCGAATTTAACATGATCAGAGCTGGTTTTAAATTTGACATGATCAGAGCTGGTTTTGAATTTGACATGATCAGAGCTGGTTTCATATTTGACATGATCAGGCTGGTTTAGTCGAATGTTAGGTAATTAGATACTTATAGGTGAAATGCTTGTTAGCACTAGTTAGCAGGGTTATGCAGCAGAAAGTGTATTACAGTTGTGACACAAAGTAATTGGATATTTTAGAAATGCTTTCAGAAAGGCAGTTATAATATGAAAGCTAACAATACTTTGATGCTATATAAATATCTGAACTCTGTCATTACTTATGTACTATAACTTTAATCTACATTTATAGTCTGATGCATAGACACCATTTTGCAAAGTCATATTTCAAAAAAACTTTGTGGACTTCGAATAAAATTCAAGTCGCCTCAAACTTTCTGTCTACTTGTAATATTTTTATTCATATGATATAAACTACTTCTTACATGTATTATATAAATTGCTTCTCATATATGTATACCAAAAATGTTCATCAAATGTCCATTAAATGTTTCATCATTAATAGTCATTGTTTAATTCATTAATAGTCATTGATTTTTTTATATATTTATATGACAAATGTGCATCAAAAGTTTCATTATTAATAGTCATTGTTTAATTTATTAATAGTCACTGATTTTTTTATATATGTATATGAGAAATGTTCATCAAATGTGCATCAAAAGTTCCATCATTAATAGTCATTGTTTAATTTATTAATAGTCACTGATTTTTTTATATATGTATATGAGAAATGTTCATCAAATGTGCATCAAAAATTTCATTATTAATAGTCATTGTTTAATTCATTAATAGTCGTTGATTTTTTGATATATGTATATGAGAAATGTTCATCAAATGTGCATCAAAAGTTCCATTATTAATAGTCATTGTTTAATTCATTAATAGTCGTTGATTTTTTGATATATGTATATGAGAAATGTTCATCAAATGTGCACCAAAAGTTCCATCATTAATAGTCATTGTTTAATTCATTAATAGTCGTTGATTTTTTTATATATTTATATGACAAATGTGCATCAAAAGTTTCATTATTAATAGTCATTGTTTAATTTATTAATAGTCACTGATTTTTTTATATATGTATATGAGAAATGTTCATCAAATGTGCATCAAAAGTTTCATTATTAATAGTCATTTATTGTTTCATTTATTAATAGTCATTCATTGTTTCATTGATTAATAGTGTTTCTGTTAGTGTCACAATTTCTGTAAAGGCAATTAAAAAATAGCAACAACGAATTAGCGTAATAGAAAATGCATTTCCATCCACCTGAAATGGCACATCGAAAAACGACAAAAAGACGCGGCACCGAAGGAACGTAAAAGGGCACGCGTGAAACGAGAGGATAACCTTTGACTTACCAATTTGTTCACCGTTCTCGCCGGTCATCGTCCTCTTCTGCTCCATGATCGCCTTCTTCTCAAGTTCGCCGTGGTACGCGACGTTCGAGATGATCTTGCTGTTCTGCTTGATTCTCAGTGTCTCCGGATCATCCGCCACCTGGGTGAACTTGCCCTTTGCCTTCTCGAACTCTGCGTGATACTTCACGTTACTTTGGATCTTCGTGTTCTCCGCGATACGTTTTAGTTCCGGTGTCTCCGCCATTGTGGTCGCCTTCGCTTTCGGTATGTGTCTGCAATTTAATCATTCGCTTTTGCAAAATTTTGAATTGATATCACTGCGAGATTAATTTTCATTTTCAAAGCTGTGGTTTTAGGACTTGCTAACTTTTGGACTGATGTCTCTACGACATTAATTTTAATTTCCAAAGCTGTGCTTTTAGGACTTGCTAACTTTTGGACTGATGTCTCTGCGAGATTAATTTTAATTTTCAAAGCTGTGGTTTTAGGACTTGCTAACTTTTGGACTGATGTCTCTACGACATTAATTTTAATTTTCAAAGCTGTGGTTTTAGGACTTGCAAACTAGGCGTCTTTGTTTTTGCTGAATTTTAATATTGCAAAATATGACTTTCTTCTGTTGACATTGAGGAAGTTCGTAAGCTTTACTGTTTGGTTTTGTGCAATTTTTAATATTGAATTTTAAACATGATCTCTGTTTTTAACATTGAGGATATTTGTAGCTTATACTGTTTGGTTTTGTGCAATTTTTAATATTGAATCTTAAATATGATTTCTGTTTTTAACATTGAGAAGATTTGTAGCTCATACTGTTTGGTTTTGTGCAATTTTTAATATTGAATTTTAAACATCAACGAAAGATACGTCAATTAACTGCATCATCGATTACATCAAGAATAACTCGAACAATTTAAAGTTAATTATATGTCCAATAGTCGGCGCATCGACGCGTTAAGCGAGTGAATAATTTAATAGCTGAAAGAGTAGCAGCAAGTAAATAGATAGGATCTCGCATGCCATCTAACACGCGTTGCGAACCTTCGAGTAAATTCTTCATCGACCATTTCCTCCGCCAAGGAAATATGGAAATTGTGATGAATAAAAGTTTGTAGGGAACCGACAAGCGGTCGATGACGCCGTCGCTTATCACGGACATCCTTTGCGAGCCACATTGATAATGACATCAGAGAAGAGAACAATACGTAAACCGTGAATAATTAAGAATGTGAACTTTTAAATAAATTTGACTCATCGCTGAGTCGGTGAATCACTTCAGATGAAAAATTATGATTCCAAAGACTAACGCTATGCTGGCATTACTAAAGGCTGATGATAAGTAAAGAACTCTTTTACACAAGAAATATTTTTTAGTAAAAAAGAAGCAGTTTGGAGGGACATTAAAAAAATTCAAAAATTTATTGGAAGGGAATATAACATGTGTCTTGTACGATGCTTTTGTAGATGACGGTAGTTTTAGTTATTAAAAATTGTGTAATTCGAAATGAGACTCATTATGAGAATCATTCTAACATATTTGCAGATGATACCTCTAGTTAATAATAATTGTATAATTCAGAATGAGATCCATTATGAAATTCACTGAAGTTTTTCATTTCTACATTGCACAGAGAATTGCACAACCATATTACACAGATCGGTGAATTCAGATGCAGAAAGAAAGTCTGCGGGAATAATGAAGATACAGGGTGCTCCAAAAAGATTGTGCAACATGGAATAAGAATAAAAAGCAATGACAATAATTTAGATATCAAAGGAATGTTCATTAAATTGAAGACCTTATCGCAAAAGCATCAGAAAATGGAAAAATGCTGTATCACTTGAATTTTTATCTCGGTAACTTCACGATAACGATACTTGGCGCACGTGGTCTTAACAATAAACGTATGTGTACTGAATTTGAGATGTAAAATAAATAAACAAACGACGAAACGTAAATTAATTCTTTATCTTGAAGCTATTAGAAACATGAAGACATCAGAAGAATCACAAATTGTGTAATTTATAATAAAGATCTTGTGGAACAGTCATTTGACCAGTTTTAGAGTTAACTATATCCTTATCCCTGGATTAGACTCCTGTTTCGTATAACATTTGTATCTGAACCCATCAGCCATCGGATTAGTCCTCGGATCGATTGCTCTTCGACTTTCCATTTCGATCCGACTGCTTCGAACAATATTGCATCAAAAGCGATTTCCTCGTTGCTCGCGAGTCAGATACGAATGCTCGGATTCCTCGTCACGCCGTCTGAACTTTCGAACAAATTTTTCTCACCGCTACAGCTGATCCAGAAAGCGTAATTAGCTCCGTATTGTTGGAAACGTGATTTTTCCTCCTTTTTTTTCTGAGCGTATGCGCATTGATTACGCGTTTATCGCGTCGTCTCGCTTCCATTTCCTCCGTTAATTAATATGCCGCACCTCCGACAACGACCTTATAATTCCATTCCTGCTCGATCCGCTAACGCACGTTTTGCCATTGTGCAACCATAAAATAGCTTCTATTTCCTCGTTGCAGGGAAGAGTTTCATGACTTATCACGAGAATCAATTTCGGTTAATTTTGGAGTTTTTACGTTGCGTAAAAATGAACAAAATATTTTTTACCTGAATTTGATTATTAAAAAATGAAAAAGGTAGATGAAATTATATAAATGTATATATGTATGATTTTTAAAGAGGAATCTTGCAAATTTAAATATTTTTAACAAAACTGGATTTGATTATTACAAAATGAAAAAGGTAGATGAATTTATATAAATATATATATGTATGATTTTTAAAGAGGAATTTTGCAAATTTAAATATTTTTAACAGAACTGGATTTGATTATTAAAAAATGAAAAAGGTAGATGAAATTATATAAATGTATATATGTATGATTTTTAAAGAGGAATCTTGCAAATTTAAATATTGTTAACAGAACTGGATTTGATTATTAAAAAATGAGAAAGGTAGATGAAATTATAAAAATATATATATGTATAATTTTCAAAGATGAATGATGTAAATTTAAATATTTTTAACAGGACTGGATTTGATTATTACAAAATGAAAAAGGTAAATAAAATTATAAAAATATATATATGTATAATTTTCAAAGATGAATGATGTAAATTTAAATATTTCTAAATGCTCAAAGTTAAAACTTTACAATTTATATATTTTTAAGAGGCCAACCAAACATTTACTTTAATATACATGAAAGTTTGTAAAATTGTTTGAATTGTTGTTACTGAATTTTTGTCTAAGGAGGCCTCAGAATTTTTTGACTGAATCTCGAATTTTAATCCAAATCTTAGAATCTTATTACAATAAGTAAAAAGTATGAGATAATATACTCATAATAATTGTCTAAAGCATGTAAAATATGCAGAATGTATTAAGAGAAAACATTGAATCACCTGAAGCGAGATAAAAACATATTTGCATAAAAATTCGAAGTCTGGTTATGATAATGACATAAAATGCATCATAGAATGTATAAACAGTATTATTTTTAGATTACACACGCAATGGCAAAGAGAGATAAGGTCAAGTTATCTCAGAACGTTGTAACATTTTTAAGACGACCTTTTTAAGAGTGCACAAGAAATACGATATAAATTTCTTCACTGAAAATCCGCGGCAATAAATTAGATAATAGTTTATCTTAATTTGCACAATGAATAACAGAAATGTGATAAATTGTCCGATGTAAAAATTGAGAATATGTGTATTACGTCAACGATCACGAATGCGTTGAGAGGAACGCCTAAAAATGGTAATGAGATTATTGAAAAATTTCCGAAATGGAAATATTCAACTTGACCTATTTGCAACGATTTACGTAAGGGAGATAAGGATCTAATAGACCTCGACTCGACTGAAGGCTCAATCGCGGTGGATTTATAGATCCTGAGTCACGGATTGCTCGAAGATAGCATCGTAGCTACACGGTTAGATTGCAACCATTTCTTCGGAATAAAACAAACTGTAATACTCGTTGAAAAAATTCTAGCTACTATTTTATTGTATCAATTTCTTGGAGATAGTAGTCTTAAACACTTTTATAGAATTACGTAAAGTGCATACTGACAAATGACACCTATGGTATTCACATGTGTCACATATGTTCACATATGTCATATATGTTCATATATGTCACATATGTTCACATATGTGACTAGCTACCTAGCTACCATTTTATTCTATTAATTTCTTGAAGATAGTACTCTCAAACACTTTTATAGAATTACGTGAAGTGCACGCTGGTTGACACCTATGTTATTCACATGTGTCACATATGTCACATATGTGACTAACTACCTAGCTACCATTTTATTCCATTAATTTCTTGAAGATAGTACTCTTAAACACTTTTATAGAATTACGTGAAGTGCACGCTGGTTGACACCTATGTTATTCACATGTGTCACATATGTCACATATGTGACTAACTACCTAGCTACCATTTTATTCCATTAATTTCTTGAAGATAGTACTCTTAAACACTTTTATAGAATTACTTGAAGTGCACACTAACAAATGACACTTATGGTATTCATATGTGTCACACATGTTCACATATGTGAATTGTGGAATATGTGTTCTTTTACAAACAAAAATTAATGGACAATATTTACGTCTATTTTAATGAGAAAGGGGTCTCATAGACATTTGCTGAATTTTAATTAGCTTGGAAACTAAGCTACATTCCTGTAGAATTTAGTTTTGAGTACAAAGTGGACTTTGGGTGTCAAATACCCAGGTTGCACTTTAAGAGTTCATTCTACTATAACTAATTATATCAAATCTGAACTACCGTATAATTATAATAGAATTGTATCATTGTATTATATTTGTCATATTATCCAGTTGATGTTCAAAATTTACCACAATTTCAGAATTGCAACTCACTCGCAAATTATCACAAGTCAGCAACACCACGATTCGATAAATCACGCGTTCGCTATCGCATCTCGTAAACAGTCCTCAAAGAAGCATTCGTTGACAAGTACTAGATAAGTTCTATCGGAAAGATAGCTACGCGCAATATTTTCGCTAAGGCAAAAAAGCTGTATCATAATAAAAATACGAAAGATGTCTAATGTTCGAGTCGTTAATTTTGCCTGTTTCACAAGAAAATTGATTATAATTACGCAGGATGATAAATCGATCGTAAGTTACGCTTCGATCGCGGCTCATTGAATTTTCCTACTGGCCGTGTCTATTTGATAAGTATCGTATGCAAAACCGCATAAGAATGCGACG